TCTTTTCAGCAGTGCTCAGCAACAGGACAAGAGGCAACCGGCACAAACAGGAACCCAGGAAGTTCCGCCTGAGTGTGAGGAAAAACTTCTTCACTGTGAGGGTGACCAAGCCCTGGGACAGGCTGCCCAGAGAGGTTGTGGAGTCTTCTTCTCTGGAGATACTCAAAATGCACTGGACACCATCCTGTGCAACCTGCTCTAGGTGATCCTGCTTTACCAGGGGGGTTGGACTAGATGATCTCCAGAGGTCCCTTCCAACCCCCACCATTCTGTGATTCTGTGAATCTGTGTAATTTACATGAGAAAACACATCAAAAGAAACATCACATTCTGGAGTGTCACATGTAAAATGTTGAATATATCAGAATCTGTTTTACATTTTCTTGGTAGCAAATAACTGAAAATACTGATTTAGAAATATTTCTGTCTTGCTAGTGATGAAAGGTCTTCATTGTCTAGTTCTGACTGGTCAAGAAAACCATTTGATTAGTACATTTTCTGCAACAGCATGTCTTTATTATTAGATTTTTATTGCAAATGCTGTCAGAAAATACATATAAATTCACTTTTCATGTGTAATCAGAATTCTTTCTAGCAAACCCTGATTATAAAAACATTAAATGAAACCAACCATTTGAAAGAGCACAAAAAGTATGTGCAGAGTAAATTAAAGAAAATCTGAATGTATCTGCATTTCAATTAACTATAGCAATTAACATGAACATGTATCCAAATGCTCTTTGCCATGACTCTTTAGTATGTATTACCACTAATGGATGAATGAATTACTTTCACACAGAACACCTACAAATCTTGAATATATTTTTCAAAAGAATTAAGAAAAAAAGCCTATTTTATTTTAGTCTCTTTCCAAAATCCACACTGGTTTTTACAACTCTTGTGCATTGACAAAACAAAACAAAACAAAATCCCCTACTACTTCTAAATATATCTGGGAACATATCTAGAAAACTCGAAAAATATATACATATACTGTTAAATAATCAAGGTTAGAACTGGTGCCTTATTATTGAGCTTCTCTGTTCCTTATAGCTGAAGAACAAAAACAAAAAAACCAACCAAACAAAAAACCTATTAAAAGCACAGCACTAAATGGCTTTGAAGAATCACTTGAAATTCTTGTGACAGTTTGTCAATCAACTCTGTTTTAAAGTTTAGTATGATGACTAACAGCATTTTTCTTAAAGTGTTTCAAACTTCAAGTTACTTAAAACACCCAGGTGAAAATGAAGATGTTTATTATTCAGAAGAACAAAGCTTCTCAAAATAATAAATGCTTGATTTCGCTCTTCCAGGCACCTACCAGTTCAGCTCTCATGAGTCTGCACCGCCTGGGACTCCTCTTGGCAGAATTAAAGCCAATGACCCCGATGTGGGTGAAAATGCAGAGATTGAGTATAGCATCTCCAATGGGGATGGATCAGACATGTTTGATATCATCACTGACAAGGACACACAGGAAGGGATTATAACTGTCAAAAAGGTTTCTTTTTTCTCCCTCTCTTTTATATGTACTTAGCTCTCCAGGTGTTATGTTTTTTTTTCTTTTTCCAGGGGAAGGGAGGGTATATCTCACAAGGGGTCAGGCTGCCAAGGAGTTGTTGTATTAGTTTTGTTCTCTTTCTTCAGCAGATATCTGTTATTTTCAAGTCTCAAGGGAAATTTACTGGCATGTCACTTCACATAAAGCAATATTTCAGTGGCTGCCGTCTGTTCAATATATATACTCTCACACACAGTACTTTTGAATTAGGGCTGTGAAAACCTGGAGGGGTTCAGTTCACAGTGGGGTTTGTCAGCTGAATGCTGGAGTGAGGCTCACAAGGGTTGGAGGCTCACCTGAAGTTTGATGAACTTACACCTCCAAGGCTAAACTGTCCCGCTCTAATCTGTCCAACGGTCAGGTATCTCCAGTACCTAAAACCTGTCTTGGTGTAAGTCTAATCTTGGTGAAATTTAAGTTGTTACATATTATGTCAATGGAAGTCCAAAAAGCAAAGACATGGGCAGAAATTTAATCCAAAATACCATCTCTGACAGATGTACTGGTTGCTTTTTTAGTGTTCAGACTGTTAAACTGTGAACATTGTTTGCAGTTCTATTCTTATTGAAGACATCAGTAACAACTAAGTGCTGTCTACGTATATATATAAAAAAAATATAGATCTATATACATATATTTGGAAATATACATATATTTATGTATGTGCATGCATATATACGTGTGCACATATGAATGTATATATACATATGCATGTATGGATATGCATAATATAAATGTCACATAGATTGGAAATCAGACTTCATCGCTTTTCTTCTCATTCTGGAACGTAGAGGCGAGGGACAGGTCTGGGTTGCTCGTGATGCAAAAATAGTCAAGGGTAGATGGTGGTGGAGTAGGAGTAAGGGAATGGGACAGAGAGCATTTAAGAACTGGGATAACTGTTATTGTTTCTACCAATGAGGTGAGACAAATAAGACCTTTAGCAACTCCTACTTGTGGGTTGAGTCCAACTTCCATGTTGCTTACTTCTTCTATTTTCTATAGATTGACCCCTCCTGGTTTTCCAGGAATCTGACCAAGTAGTAGGCAGAGGGATCATAATTGCCTTGCTGCCCTACAATACTCCTTATTTTTCTTATACCTAGAACAGGCCCTAATATACTCCATCTTCTCCAAGATGCATTAAGTTTTAGAGCTTTTGCTCCTAAAAATGCGTACACTTCTAATTCAGCATTATAAACCTGACTCACATTTCTTGCAAAGTGACACAGTTTTCTTTATTATCATTATTATTATTTGCTCCCCAGCATCTGGATTTTGAAAACAAGATGTTATACACCTTAAGAGTGGAAGCAACCAACACTCATCCTGATCCTCGTTTTCTTCAGCTGGGGCCATTCAAAGACACAGCTTTGGTCAAAATTTCTGTGGAAGACATAGATGAACCTCCAGTGTTCAGCAGACCCTGGTATTTAATAGAGGTAGATGAAGATGCCAAGGAAGGAAGCATTATTGGGCAGGTTGTAGCCCACGATCCGGATATAACAAAGAACGCAATAAAGTAAGCCATTACACAATATAAATGCTTTAAATGTGGGTCAAGTCTCATGCACAAAGTGTAGTTAGAGTGCAATGTAATAGGGGACCACTTAAGTAATTAAGGCCATAGGGGCTACTGAAAAGCATCAAGCGGAGAAATATCTATGGGAGCCTATGAAGGCAAACAGTTAACAGCGCAGAGTATGTTTCTGAAGGACAGTCTATAGCCACCAGGTAAAACAAAAGGAGAGATCAGCATTTAACTGGCATCGTGTTCTAGAACTTTCACAAAATTGTTCATCAGATTATGCTTGTTTCCAATGGCAAACTTACGTAAAATACTCAAAATGATGTGTTTCTACACTCCCTGCTGGTTGATAGCAGTCAGCCTTCTCTACCTTTATAATCTCCTAGACATAACACTGTCTACCATGTTCCATAGCCTAACTGTTATAATGATCACATTATATTAAAGAAGAATGACTGTGAGAAAGTCATAACATTAGAAGTAAGAGTTCAGGGCTTTGAAATTGTTGTAATTGTTAGACATGTGCTATTATAATCTGCAGTAACAAACACAGCACTGAAATTTGTGTATTTACCATGATTAGGAAAACTGATTTCTGCATTTCTGAACAAGCCTGTTGTGGCCTGCAGCAGTAAAGTCTGGGGTAGGAGGTGGGAAAGGAGAAAGAAAATAAAATATTTTTAAGTGATCTATGCATAAAAATCTCAATTTAACCTGATAGTGACTGGCAACTAGTAGACCAATTAAAAAACACTTGTAAAACAAGTTTTTCTTTGTTGGGAAAGAACAAAGCAAAAGCAAGTGTTATAAAATAAAATTTTAAGAACTTTCATTGTAAACAACAACTAATCCAAAGATTTTTTTGTGATTTTGATGGTCCTTGTGACATCTCAAAAATATCTTGTTATAAATTGATACTTAATTATATCTGCAACGTGTGTCCTATGAGTTGTCAAAGAAACAATTAATTTGAAAAAAAAAAATCTAAGAATGTTCATTTTTAGTTGTTATTCCAGCATTCACTTTATAAGCTAAAAATGCAATTTTGAATATCAGTCTAACAAACTGCCCACATAAACAGTTTGCTCTTCATCCCGCTCACTAGTATTAAAAAAATTGTTTTTCAGTATTTGCAACATGCTGCACTCCTCAGGCAGCTACAGGAAAGCTTAGGTTAATTGTAAAGAAAATGTTCTTGATTAACCACAGTTAAAATTTAGAGGCGGCTGTGAGCTAAAGTAGAGACTGTAACAGGAAATAGTGATGCTCAGTTGTACTCTATCTTGACAGATACTCTGTGGATCGACACACTGACCTTGACAGAATATTCAACATCTATTCAGGAAATGGATCCTTATTCATCTCAAAGCCACTTGACCGGGAAGAAACTCCCTGGCACAATATCACTGTCATAGCAACTGAAATCAGTAAGTTGGAGATCATTTATCTTGGAAGAACATTAGAACTGAGAAAAGTCTGAAATTTTACAGCATCTATGAATTATCTTGTTTCATTAGTTTTGCCCTTATTCAGATATTATCAATAGACAGAGTATCTTTAAATGCACATCTAAAAGTTCAATTTACTACTTTAGGATTATCTTTGCCTGTTTATGAAAAGATAATTTGGAATTCTCAGGCTCAATGAAACCACGTACAGTATATATTAGGCAGGTTAACTGGTTCTCTGAGAATTCCCAGCAAATAATTTGGTGCAGGTGTGATGCACTGGCTTTATCCTAAGCTACGTCTTTAGGAGAATCCTTGGGAAAAAAGCTGTCCAGGATGGACAAATAACATGTTGTCAGAATGACCGCTGTAAACAGGGGAAGAAATTATGCTTTACCTCAACTGCTTTATCTTATCCCAGGAAATGGCTTCATTTGAAGCTAAGACTAGAGGAAGTTCTTTCCCTTCCATTTCTGAAGCAAACACTGGCCCTAAGTCTTTCGCCTGGGTTCTTTACTGTTCTGTTGGACCCTTTTAGATCTGGATGTCTCGTGCTTGCCTTTTCTTTCCAGCCAACTGATAACAGTGATCAAAGAGGACGCAGAGACACCAATTTTAGGAAACAACTTTTCTCCCTTCTTTCATTCTCCCTATAGATTCCTCAGGAGTCTATGTGCTTAACAGTGTGGGAGTCAGGTAATAGGGAAAGATTCAGAAAGACTGATAGCTTTTCCTCATAAATGCTTTTTCATTGTTTGGTCAAATATGGTCTCCATTTTCAGTATGTGTACTGCGAGATTCATCTCCAGCAATAGCTTGACCTTGCAGGTCAAGTTTGTGAAGACCAGTTGATGATAACGTCTACCTATCTCTCTTTTTTTGTTTTGTTTTTACATTTTGGAGAGAAAGGACAACTTTGGGTTGTTGGGGTTTTTTATGTGTTGTTGGTGGTGACTGACGCTGTTTAACTGCTTTACTGATTTGAACAAGTAAATGTTCTTGACAGATCGACCTCAGGAAACAGCTTTTGCAGTGAAACATTTACTGCACTGATGTATGGAATACAAGTCAATAACAACTCAGTGACCTGTTTTTAATGCAAATCAATTTAAATATACTTTCTGTTATTTCAAAATACGTATACCATAATAGAACAATTTGTTTCAAATATAAATACGGCTTTTATGCATATGGAATGTATGTCAGTAGAAAATGAAATACAGCTTTAAGATAATCAAGATAAATGAACATATCTAATGTATATTAGATAATTTCAGGTCCTTTCATAGTCGTAGACTGTAAATCTTTGCATTGTAATATAAATAATTTTCTTGTTTCAGATAATCCTAAACAAAGTAGCCAGATATCTGTCTTCATCCGGATTTTAGACATAAATGATCATGCACCAGAATTTGCCAAATACTATGAGACATTTGTTTGTGAAAATGCAAAAGCAGGACAGGTAAAAAAAATACTTATGTTACTGAAAAACTTGTAATGAAACTATTCTGGAATACCGTCATGAAGACTTCAATGTATCTTAATTTCAACAACTGTGAACCAACAACCTCTTTAATCCCTGCCTTCTACAGAAACTACTAGTTGATTCAAAAAAGATTTAAGGAGGTAAAAGATGCAAGATTTTACCCTAGTATAATAACATATATAATACAAAATCATACTTTCAGGTGGTTTTTCGTTCCTAATATCAGAAAATATTTTTTCAGAACTAGTTATGCATAATGCTACAAGACCCTTTATACTATTTGATAATTCCATTTCTTTCTAGATTTTTTTCAAAGCTGAGGTAAAGTAACCACCCCTTCAAGTACACAAAGCAGGAAAATCTTTTATTATGCTTCAGTAAAGGAGATATGAAAAATAAACTTTTACAAAAATAAAAGATAATGCAAGTAAGTTAAATTTGAATTTGGAGTTGAGTTGAATTTGGTGAAAGCTCATGTATATCTCTTTCTGAACTATCATCTGAGCAATTCTGTAATAATCTAGAAAGAAAAAAACAAGATTTGTAGAGAAAATAAAGTGATGACTGGGAACTGAGAAAGAAGGCATACCAACAGAACTCAGAGGCAGGATAGTACAGAAATCTCTTAATATTATTGCCACTACAACCAACATCTATTTATGCTAATGCCAGTCAGCCTTTCAGTTTTAAATCGTGTGAAAAAAATATAAGTTTTGCTGATTTTTAATTCTGAAAGTATTTAATAAAGAACTGGATTTAATAGCAGAACAGGTACTTCCAGATTGTCTTTCAAGCATGGGCCTAAGTCCATGCATGAGCCTTTTCTATAGACTGATGCATCTCTGAGTGGAAGACAAAACTTGCAATCATTATTTTCTCTAGCACAAATCTGAGTGGGTTCCTGCTCTGATGGAAAGAGGCAAGGATGGAGCCCTAAACTCATCTTAGGTCTGTCCTTGTGTCTCACTAGTTTTATGTTGCCATCATCCGACTAATACTGGCTGACTTCACAGAAATATTTGGAAAGGATCAGAATATAGGATATTTTGTTTGTCCTTAGAGCACAGTGACCATACAACACTCAAAGTCTTTACAGGACTGTGGGATATGGATACGCATCAGGAAGCATGCTCGTGTTTTACCTTGGTCGCTACCCAGTGTTGTATTTAACATAGTCATGGGGACTGCACTGAAAGTAGCACAGACGTTACCTGAGATGAGTCTAGAATTTCAGGTCCTGCAGAACTCTAGACAGAGTAAGAACACGCAATTTACCAGTTGCAATTCAAATGATGTTTTATGAATCGTTTAACAGATTAAAAAAAAATAAAGAGACCAAAAAAGGGAGAAAAAGAGGATACAGTGGATTGCTGAAGTTTGTGTTAAATTCTACTTATTTTTCATTCATTTCACCTAATAATGGAATTTAGGTAAGTAAGTGGGTTAGAAAGACAGAGGATATTTTGAGTGAAATCACTTGGCTTTGAAGAAGTGCTTGACCATTATTTTAATTCTTTTTACAGGAAAGCCTTACTATTTTTGATGCAAATGACATAAATAGAGGAATATGCATATCAAAGGCAGTGATGAATTAAATTAAAACAGTGGAAGGAATCATGATATCAGAAAAATGAACAAGGAGCGCCTTTCAAAACAAATGAGGTTTATGATCAGAACATTATGTCTTAACCAGTGACATAAATTGTCACATAAGAATACAGTTCAAGCCTTATAGAATGAGCAAAAAATCCCTAAACTTCTGGCTATTGTACCTTCATAGTTTTGTTTTATGATTTATAAGCTGCTTTTCCAGGTGGAATACATTCAGATTATTCTAGCCGTTATTTTCAATCAGCTGGCATATGACCTAAATTCTGTCTGTGCAACGAAATCTCTTTGCATAAGATGAAACTGAGACAAACCTTAAAATCTTAGTATAATGACTGATAGAAAAGTGAGTCATGTACTTCAATTGCATAACACAAAGAAAGGTTCCAAAGCTTACAAACGAAGATGTCATTGAAATTAATCGTGTGCAATTTCATCAACCAGCAAACACATTTTGTCATATATTTGAGCCAAGTTCAATCCCAGCATACTGCTTGTCAGTTTCCTTAACCCAGTTTCCATCTAGTCTAGCATACTTGATGAAATATCCATTAATGTATAAAATTGCATTTACCTTTCTCGTAAATTCTGGGTTTTTTCTAACACCAGAGATGACAGAGGCCCATAAGATAGGCATATTGTTATTCAGACCTCATATCTAGCATACCAATGTAATTCCAGGAATTATTATCCCTAATTGGAAAAATCCTCAAAAATACTAGAAAGACAGTGTGCATCAAGTGCATCCGCAGAAGAATGAGAAATCCAGACCGTTCTTCTATTTATTAACAGTTGGGTTCCTCAAGACAGACATCTGACTTCACATCTGGACATTTACATATAGCTGACTTAGTATTTCAGAAAACAGATTACTTTCAGCACATGAGACTACTTTTATTTTGGTGCCTAAAAATAGCAATGAATATAGAGATACAAACTTGAACATTTTGGCCAAGTTCCAGATAGCCTGTATTGTTCATGTTTAGCAGTCCTCCTATAATACAATAAAGATACAGAATCATGTTGTATTCATTTAGTACTACTCCACCTTATTTTAGAGACCCCCTAAAGCAGCTGTCGTATTAGAATCATTATTGCTTCTTGACACTTCACAGCAGTGCTTCTACATCTGGTGCCCATAGCAGGAGAGCCAGACTGAGAAAATAAATACATTTAGTTAATTTTTAAATTTGTTTTTTTGTTAATTGGACCCAGCTACTAATCACACCGCTCTCTAAATCTCAGGTGCATCAGGAAGCAGTCAGAATGATCACATATTCCTCTCTGCTGCCAAGTGACAATACTCATTCTCAACATCAGCAGATATTAGGGGCTGCATTCATTGTGTTTTTCAGATAGCCTTAGGACGGTCACAGGAAAGAAAACCCTACAGAATCTCTCCTCCTCTCTTGCCACTCTTCTGTCTCCAAACCACAGTGGTATGACTGGGAAGAAATATTATCACTAGAGGTGCATAAACAATTACATTCATTAGGCTGGAACAGATTTGTCACCATGCGAGTCCCATTTCACCAGCTAATACATGGGATAAAGAAAAGTATGACGCAGCCTTCCTCTCGCAAAATTTAGAAATCCCTAATCCTTTGATGGCGTGCTAGAGCCCCAGGGACTGTTGTGGGGAAGGCTCTGGTACAAGTTCTCTCATGCCCTTGTCACGGGAATTAATTGGGTCTTTTTAGCTGGATTAGAGGATGAGTCCTCTCCATGGAAACCAGGAAGATTTACTTGAAAAGGAGACTGATTTAACTGAACAATTTGCTAGTAATAATTTAGCTAATTTCAACACCCATCAATAATAATATTTAAGAAAATAACCTAGGTGGCTTTTTTTGCACTGATGCTGTATTCTTTCCTGCCGTTCAGGGGCTCTCAGACATCAGAACAGAGAGTTTGTTTCCTCTTTCAGAAAGCCGGCAGATTTTTCCTTTCATTAGTCTCCATACTCGCTCTCCCTTTTTTAGATGGAGCAGACAGAGATCACATTTTTCATGTGGCCACCGCTAATTATCAGTCACGAGTTGTTTATACATTGTAGCAGCCTTTTCTAGGTAGACGCCTATTGGCTTAATTCAGTGAGAGACCCATGCTAACAGTCTGTCTCTCTTTTGAAGTAAGAATTAGAGTTCAAGGGAGAATTTTCCAACTTCTGATAAGCATTCAGTCCTGCTTTAAAACTGCCAACACATTTGTGGAACAGAGCCAAGACTTGAAAACGAAACTGATTTGCATTACCAAACGTGAGGCTTTGTTAAGTGGCAGGCACATTAGAACATTTCTTAAGACATAAAGCGTCAAGATCAAAGGTGTGTTCAAGCTTACACACACGTGATGGAGGCCGCTTTCTGCAGCTAGCGCCGTACAGGTGTACAGGCTGGAACTGTGCCTGAACGTGTGTGACCGCTCAAGCCGCAGAATGACCAGATGGGCATCCACTGGCAGCTGGATTGATTTTGAAACATTTCTATGTGGGGACACTTGGACTATATTATTACTTTACTCCTAGAGAAATGTAGCCACTTTGAAATCTTCTAGAAAATCTTCATCCTATCCGCTTACACTGTGCTATGTTCTTAATACCTTCAAGAGTAGTTAATGATTTGCCCTACCAGATCGTACAGGCAGGAAAAGGGGCAAGAGAAAGAAAGAACAGGAGAAACACAAAGCTGCTATTCCACCATTCCCCCATAGCATTTGCACACTGCTATGTTCTGATGATTGTCAAAAGTGCAGTCTCGCCCACATGTTTTTTCATAGTTTATTGCAGGCAAAATGGTGAGATCTTTCCAGATTCCTTGAGAGATATTTGCAGCATAAAATAAGTTTAATAAATTTCAAGAATGACAAAGCCAGTGCTCCAAGATCTAGGATTTGTTCTGTTTTCTCCTATACCACTTCTGAAAAAAGTGTCAGACAAAAACAAACAGTAAAGTGTCCAAACATTCCTTTCTCAAATGCCTAATGATATTTTTTAAGTCTTATCTCAGAAGCAGCTGAAAGTAGGTAAATGACATTTGAGAAATTTCTCTGTTGTACAATATCCAGGTTTAACTAAAAGCATAAGAAGAACAAAACCCCAAATGATTCAAGTGGATTGAAGGCCTACTCCTCTGCATATCTATAATTGCAAACAAGAAACAACAAAATTCAACAGCTGTTACTCTATCTCTAGCTTAACAATGTCTGTCTCCAGTGGTCTTATTTCTCTGAGACTGGAACTACAATTTTCATGCTATATGACAATTACATTCTTTCAAAACTTCACAAAGGCGCTGTCTACAACAGCAGACCATCTTTAAATTCCAGTGAAAGTGACATTATTTTTCACTGTCATGTTTATAGTGAATTTTAAAAGAAGGAATTTTGAAAAAAAAGTTTAAAAATACGATAGTAACCGCCAATATGCAGCTTGTTTGAAAAGAAGCAGCAGCGGATTCCATTGCAGACTCAATTTTTGTGTCAAATTTTGTTTTACTAATAGAAATTTTTAATCTGAAAATATATTACATCTGTCCACCCATAGACCTCATCTTGTTCAGCTTTCTTCAATGAACCTTTCAAGAATCTGTCTGAAGTATGTTGCTGCATTTTTAAAGTATGTACCCTGGAGCCAATGTGCAGCTGTGGTTTATTCGCATGACATGCCAAGCCAGCACAGGTTGAAAAGTCCATCTAAAAAGTGGCTAGCTGGCACTGACCTCTATACTGTTAAAGATGCACTACTAGCTTAACATTTGCTTTAATGGTTCCTATATTCCTTTTAAAGGCAGCCCCAAGGCTGAGTCCATGATCCAAATCTCCTACTTGTGCAGCTCTCCATGTCCACAAATGCAGCCTCAGGAACAGTAAGGGCATGCTCTGAAGTGCACAGGGACCCTTGTGATTTCAGAATGCCCCCACCTAGCTTTTACTGTCTTTAAAAGAGCTTAAAGAAAACTGGAGAGCAGGTTACATCTAAGGATGTACCAGATATATGTCAGGAATCTGATACTAGGCAGTCTATTCATCCCCAATCACTTTTTCAGAGATGAGTATGAATAGCTGTAAAATAGCCTGAATATAAACTATAATCACAGTTTTGACTGTGGTGTAAGTCATGGCCTTAAAAATACAGTATCCAGGAGGAAAAAAAACCCAACCACAAAACAGTATTATAATTGATCCATTTCTACATTTGAAAAAATATGCCAATGGAAAATAGGTCCAAACCCTTTAACAGAATCTCTGGCTTCATCATGAAAGTAATTCTTCAAGAAATTTTTCCAGTGGGAATAATTCCTCATTTATAACTCATCTTGCATTGTCAAGCTGCTGCAAGCACTTTGTCCTGAGTGTAAAAGAGAAAACTATCTCAATGCCTAAGTTTAAATTTTCAGTACCCTCAAAGACAAGTAACCCCTAAGAAATTAAATTTACCCAATAAGATCCACTCAAGAGTACGAGACTGTTTCTTTAAACACACAGAAGTGCACATACACATGCAGCCCTCAAAATAATGACAATAATGCTGTATTTTCCAGATTGTATTCATTTGCATGGCAAACTAAGGGTGAAAGAAAAAAAATGTGAATGCTTTTTATCTTCTCTAAGCTTGATATGCTTGAAACATATTTGAGTAAAAGTCATTTTCTTGAAATAACTCTTCCCTCATAAATCTTACAGTGTCAGAGATCTTTCTCTGAACTCCTGGTGAAGAGTGATTATAAGTCAATGCCCATAACTACTTCAAAACAGAAGAATACATTTCCAACATGAAATTACAAAATATACACGAAACAGTACTAATTTTTTTCATATAACTGTGATACTTAAAAATAGCCACCTCTCTCCCATTTCCGCAGTGATTATCATTAACATAATTCTCTTTTATTTACAGCTGTATAACTGAAAAAAACCCCCAAACCCTTAATTAGATAACATTTCTAATTTCCTTTCACCTATTCATCATTTGAAAACATTCACCTGCAATCATTCGTTCTCATTGTTCTTTTATTCTCCCATCTTTCCTGGTGGAAGAACAGCTGGTTCTCAATTTATGCAGCCAACAGTTAGAGCAGGTAATAAGTTCTGGGTGGGTTGGGTTTTTTTTCTTTTTTTCAGCCTTACCCTCGACAATAAGTTTTTCAATGTAATTAGGTTCCTCTATGCCTGGCACAATTGTCCTACTCCATGTGATTTACACATGAAGGGAATCAAATCCAGATCCTACAAACATCCCACTGATTACATCTCAAAAAGCCCCAAGATACTCAACTGCAATTTCTGGTAGCTATTATATCAGGATATTTTCTCCTTGAGTTTTTCAGCAAGTAATTGCACAAATATTATCACTTATTCTAATTCTCTCTCTTCTCCCTGGTACTTTTACACTTTTTCTGTCTTTTCAAACTTGTAAAAATATGAGAGGAAAATTTTCTCATTTCAATTTGGTATTTTAGTGCTGTCAGAAGAAAAATTTTTTTTTGGTAGCAATATTATGGGTTTGCATTAAGCAATGCAGAACTAAAATTAAGCACCATCCTGGTCTTGCTCTCTGTATCGTCACACTCAGAGGCAGATTATAGCAAAGAGAAAAGCAATGGGACATTGGAAAAATGTTGGCATAATGAGAGACTTGGCAACATATTGAACAGGCTACTTTGCCATAAACAGGGATTTGGTTAATCTTGGGGAACAGCTAAAACTTAAAAATAAATAAATAAATAAATAAAAATATGTGGAGACCTTAATATGTAGTTATTATTCTAATCACACTTAGAAAAACTGTATAATCCTGCTTTCAGCAGAGTCATATCATTTTGTACAAGGCTGATGTTCACAAGTTACCTTTCAAGTTCCTCAATATGCCTCAAAAATAAAAAGAAAATGTTAAAAAAAATAATCTCATGGTTGTTTTAGAAGGAGCTGCTAGGAAGTGAATGAGCCAAACTCAGACCTTCTCTACTGTTTTTTTCTTATAACGATTTAATATTATTAGCTGTAATAAAAGTATCCCAAAATTAACTAGAAAAAAATGGGCCAAATACTCATTGTGCAGTATAGGACTAGCAGCAGCAGGTTTCTGAACGATACAGTAAGAAAAACACTTTAGTATTTATGGTAACCCTATAATTATGTTTGTCTAATACAGTGTTCCATCCTAAGACATGTTAAATACCCTCCAAAATTTAATTGTGCGCTCAAGTCCCACTCAAGCTGATGTTCAGAGAAAATACATAAGAAAAAGCTATTCCTTATTTGATTGCTGCAAAGATTAAAAATTGTATTAGTGTTACTTGTCAGTTACTGTATTTCTTGAAGAAGTCATGCTGTACTTTCCCTGGAAATATCAGAAAAGCAAGCAGCAAAGTAAGTCTTTGATAGCAAGTGGCTTTGATGTCTGTGGGATTTCAGGACACCCTACACACTGGAAACACTTGAAAACCTCAAGACAGGCATTGGATCTCTCATGGCTTTGAAAGAAACAAGTCTGCTGAGCTCTTTCTGCCTTTAAGTTTAGGTGCTGTAGAAACTTGCTGAGCTGCAGCATCCTCAGTTGAAGCCTACTCCCATTCTCATGCCACCAAGCTTCCTCATCTTGTGATTGAACTCAAATGCATCCGTGCAAGCCAAGGTGGAGTATGGGTCGCTCTGCAGTGCGATACCTGCTAGGGAGGGCAAAGGACGTAGCAGCCATCCATATGGCTTACTGGGGTTACCATGACTCGTGCAACCCGGCGTGGTGTTAACTCATTTCACAAACCACAGCTATTCCCAGGTAGCTTTTCCTTCCTCAGTTCTGCAGCTGATTTCCTTAGTCTCTATGAGTCTAGCAGTAGATAGATAGAAAAAGAGCCAAATTGCTAGTGTATATGTCTGTCTAAATATACGTGAGTACACGTATTTGCACATGTAACGCCTATGCAATCCACAGGTACTGCTGACGCCTCTTTTTAGGTCTACTCTACTCTGACCCTATGCTGGCACTGTTATCACCCCTTCCCAGCTGGGCTTGAGTGGCCTTGTTAGGGCAGCTATAAAGCTCCACAGCCGGAGGTTTCAATTTAGGAGGGAGTAAAGCATCTCTTTTTATTACCTCAAGAGAACTGAGCATCCTGCCAGTGCAGTACTCCAATTTATCGCCAGGAGCAGATGAGGTGGTCTGGGAATTAGATCCACTTAACAACTGGTTTACACGCTACACTGTGTCATTGCTACATGAGGCCACAGGAGGTTTATGGCTTATTCAGAAGGGCAACTGTTTCTGCACCACTGCAAAATATTGAGTACAAATCAAAGCATGTGGCTGTCTTGCAGTGAGAACTGGCCCCTTTTTCATCCTCCATTATGTGTTTAAACAATAAAACAACAATTAGCTTACTATAACCTCTCCTGTGTTTATGTGGGGGACATTAGGCTTAGGACATGACTTTGTGTCTTCAGGTAGAGATTTGTTGGATTTTTACTGGACATGAAAAGCAGAGACCTTATTTCAAACACAGTATTTCTAAAATAGCATGAAATACTATTTTCTTTATAGCTGATACAGACTGTGAGCGCAGTTGACAAAGATGAGCCTCCTCGAGGACACAAATTTTTCTTTGAGTTGGTGCCAGAATTTGCTGTTCATCCAAACTTCTCCATTGTAGACAACAAAGGTAACTTCTGACTGGCACCATCCCCTCCCCACCCCCATACCACATAAAACTTCATCGAGCAACATTTATTTATTCTGCTTCTCCATTCTAGATAACACAGCAGGAATTATGACTAGAAGAAATGGATACAAAATGGGTACCTATCTCCTGCCAATCATAATATTTGACAACGACTACCCAATCCAGAGCAGCACTGGCACGCTAACCATTCGAGTGTGTGCCTGCGACAGCCGGGGCAACATGCAGTCCTGCAACGCGGAGGCCTTGCTCCTCCCTGCTGGCCTCAGCACGGGGGCACTGGTGGCCATTCTCCTCTGCATCATCATCCTGCTAGGCAAGTACCTGTGATGAGATGTTTAATTGACTAGGCAAAGGTCTGGGTCACTTCTAGACCACTGATATTCTTCAACCCCTTATTCACATGTCTCTGCAGAACAATATTTCATAACTGATGTGGTCTTTTTATTTTTTTTTTTTTTTTAACAACTGTTTTCTAAGATGGCAAATGAGCTAGGAGTGTGGGAGAGGGAACTACTATGGGCTGTTTGTCATCATTTCTGTTCAGAAGAATGTGCAAAAGGAATGATACTATCAATGTTATTTAGATGAAATAAACTTGAAAATCTAGGGTCAGTTTTAGATATCTTGCTCATTTGAGTAATGTTTTATGTTATAAACAGATTTTCATTTGGACGCAGGGCTTTAAAATCATACTCCTGAAGCTGAGTGATAAGTTTCTCAGTGATTAAAAAATTATCAGTTATACTAGCTATTTAATCATGAATGATTTGTAATTTTTATACTCAGGAAATATTTAGCTCAAAAGCATAGAAAAGAAATGTTCAATTGCTTGCAAGCGGTAGCAAGAGCAGCTGATTAAATAAAGTGTGAGCACAGAAATTAGATGGGTGGTAGGAGAGCAGAAGCATTAGAAAGATGAGGTGATATATGAAGGAACAAGAATAAATGTTAGCTCTTAATCTGGTGTCAAGAACATCAAAATTGCAACTTGCATGTTTTGCATAACAGAGAAGTGCCTCCTTAAAAGTGCCAACATCTGTACTTTCCAGTCAATCTCTGTGGAAAACTTCTTTCCCTTTCTCCGTGTCCTAGCAAACACAGCTTGCCAAGGGGTCAGTGACAAGCTTACAGATGTCAGTTTACATATTTCTAGGGAGATCAGTATTTTATCAGATTTTAGACTGGGTTCAAGCTACCTCAAGTAAATACTGAGAGGACCACAGAGGTTGTTAGGAGAAGGGCAATACGTAGGAACTGTATCTATACTGTTGGGCATAGGGAAGGGAGGGTACTTGAACTCTGAAAAACTGATTGTCCAGTGCTTAGGTTCAAGCATCGCCACTGGCCTGGTTTCAGCACGAGCCATCTTGGATTCCAAGGACATTGCCCAGGCATAGCCTGAACAGCAGAACTTACAGGGCACCACTTGCAGCAGACAATTATTGTTCAAACTCTGCCGGATCTGGCTCTCCACCTTGCATAGTTCTTAACACCATGTCAACAGGCTCCGCACCTTCAAAGCCATCCTTATGCCCCAACATAGAGCATGAAATATATGCCATGAAACACATGACCTTACTCATTCACTATGAAAACATCACTGATCGGTTGCAATACTTTAATACAGAAACATTGAACTAAAAACAAAAATCAAAGTGTGCCTTAGGACCACAGCGATAGCACATGAGACTCAGAACAGGCTCAGGGACCAGTGCTGTGCAAAACAAGCGTGACCACTTTTCGTCTCTTGGCCCCAGGGTCAGGAACCCTGCTCTACTTAGTGCGACATAGCCGAAGCCAGAGTAGCATAAGACTGAAGAGC